ACGATTAACGACAACGACTTCAATAACACTGTTGACTATATGGAATTAATAAGAATAGGTTCAGCGCTGATAATGAGTTCAAAGAAAACCTAAGAATAAGAATCATTTAAATAAGATAATTATTATGCTAGATCCACCTTCAGTAAGCAATTATATTCAGAAAGATGGATACATATTTCTCCTAAATGTATTTGCGCGTAAATGAATGTAACGGACTCGACTGGAATTTGAACTCGACTCTCCGATTTCTCACCCAGACCTGATACTCATTACACTACAACACATAACACATTCAACTGCTTTTATGCCTGGAAAATATCTTAAATCGAAATAAAATTCCTATTCTTCCCCAAATATATTTCCACTTTAATGGTTCTTGAATGATTATTCCTCCCTTAATAATTTGGGGTTTTACAGCCCAAGTTTGATTTTGATTTTCAACTGTCGCTGCTGAAATAAGAAGGGAATCTCTGACAACATCCTGTCTTCCCCACAATCAGAATAATATTTATGTCCTCCTGTCGCTTTTATTAGGATTATAATTTTGCTCTCAGTTTAGAAATACAGAAGTGAAATATTACGCTGAATATCTTATCAAATAAAACTCGACGCCTTTCTCAAGTTAAAAATTTATAAAGCAAATTAATAAACAGCTACAATTCTTGGAGTCTAGTGTACAATAAATTATTTCTATAATCTCCTCCAGATGTTGAACTCTAAATACAAAATCGCTGAACTGCTTGATTTAAGAATGAAATTTTCGTGGCCAGAGATTATTTTTCATGTTAAGCTCCGTTGTCGGGTCATTTTGAAGTGGAACTCTCTTGTTATGTGAGAGCAGAAAAAGATAACATCGAGGTCTATGAAATAGAAAAAGGAGTCTGTAGAGTCATATTGTCGGGTCGTGAAGATAATTATATGAAGTGATTTTTGCAAATTTTACTCAATTTTTCGCTTTCCATCTGATGATCGGTTTTAATAGAAATATTTTATAAATTCCGTCTAAATGTACTACTGGCCGTTCTGTTAGTGTATATCAAATGTTCACACACACACTATATATATATATATATATATATTTGTGTTTGTGCAGAAATATAGTTTTAAAGTGTGGTATATTTATGGGATAAAGTGCTCAATATCAGAGATAGAGCGTATAAATATAAAAGTGAACATTGAAGTCAACACTCAGAGGCGACAGGCTGTTTCATAATAGACGCAATTGTCAAGCCGCCTGACGATTATATATATATATATATATATATATATATATATATATATATATATATATAAAGAAAGAACAGTAAGATATATAATCCGGTGTTCTTATAGATACTTTTAATTTTACAATTTACAGAGCATTAATATTATAAATTAATTGATTTAAAATATGCTTTTTTCGCTTCTGAGTTCTAACCATGTTTCAAAAATGGGCTGAAAGCTCCGAATTTAATTTTGTAATTAAATTAAATTCGGAGCTTTCAGCTTCCATTTTTGAAACATGGTTAGAACTGTGTAGCGAAAAAAAACATATTTTAAATTAATCAATTTATAATATATATATATATAATGTGCGTATGTCCATGCTTATGTGTGTATATATGTGCAGGTATAAATATGTATGTGTTTGCGCCTAAAGTTTATGTTTGTTTTCATTATTTTTCAGGTAAGTCGATTGATATCTTTTGTTTCCGGAGACCGAGAGAAAGAAAAAAAAAACTGCATTTAAAGTATGTATTTTATTTCTAAAGATATATGAAATCAAGTGATAATTTAAAAAAATGAATATCAATTACATTTTTATATGTAAATAATTATTTTTCTCTAGATGTTAGAGCTCTAACAAATTCAACTTACTAAGTGCCATATAAAACCTTTTTCATCTCCTTGTTAATATTCGTCAGTAGAACCACGCACCTCTGAAACAACAGGTGTCTTCTGTCAATTGTCCTTCATTCACTGTCATATATGAGATGAGACATTACATTACAATCTAGCATTTCTGCGTTTCCAAGGACATTTTTCATCACTTATTAATTTCTGTCTTTCCGCGTGCAAAACTACGTTCCTGAACCGTTTGTTAATGGTCAGGTAGACATATTTTTATGTCTGTTCCCTAGTTTTTTATTTATTTATTTTTTCAAATCCCCAAACGTCTTTTTTCTTCCTTTAGACAGACAGCTGATTACACCGTAGAGGCTTGTGGGATCGATAATTATGCTGTTAGACGATTTGGACAATTTTGCTATTACACTTGGTATATATATATATATATATATATATATATGCACACACACAGGGTGACTGAAAAATAACTACCTATATGATGTGACTCTCCAGTCTATCTATAATTTTTACAAGACGGGAGAGTCCATCATACCTAAAATAGGGCGTTACTTTACAATCACTCTGTATATTAAAGCCCTGTTTTCACGGCCTCGACACATTTATTAAGTTGTGTATCTTTCCACGTGCAAAACTACGTTCCTGGACCGTTTGTTAATAGTCAGATAGACATATTTTTATATCTGTTTCCGAGTTTTGTTTTATTGTTTGTTTGTTTTTTTTTTTTTTGTTTTTTTTTTTCAAATTTCCAAACGTTTTTTTTCCTCCTTTAGACAGGAAGCTGATTATACCGTAGAGGTTTGACGTCCTTTCATAGCAGTATTTCGATTTTATTTACGCCTTGAGAATATCGAGGTCCCGGGTTTCAGTTTGCTGCCATTATTTTATTTCATTCTATTTTAAATTTGATATTGTAAATTGCAATGTCATTTTCTACATGGATCGAACTCGGAAGAAGTCATTTGCTGCTTGTTTTCTTTCGCTGATTCTAACAACGTTAAGCTACCAATCATTTGAAGAATAGCTGTTTTTACTACTAATGATATCATCTCTATATTTTAATGGGGAGTTTTTAGTTTGGTTGCATCTCTAGACTTAAAAAATGGAATAATATAATAACAACAATAATCTATATTATAAAAGAAGACTATATTCAATGTCCGTCATTCACTGTCTATTGTAACTATTATGTAATGTTAATACATATATCTGAGTTGTGCGTGAGTGACTTGCACATGCTTTTTCTATTTAATGTTCGATGTTTACGTTAAATAGTACAGGCATGCACACATACAATTTGACTGAATTTGAAACAAAACATTTCCCTTCTACTCGAACAGAAGAAACGACCATGGACTGAGCGATAGATTCATAAATTTGAAGTCAAGAAAAAAGTGTTGTAAGCTGGTGCTGTTTTTCTTATTATTAGTGTTATTTCTGGAGTTTTTTTTAAAATTTTGTTTAATTTCCTGAACAAAAGATGAAACGTAATTTCCAAATGTAGACAAAGTAAATTCCTATTCCGCTACCTACAGCTATATCACGACTATAAAACGAAATAACATCCCATAACCTAAATCTACTAAATTTATTTTAAATACAAAATTCTAGAGCTGAAGAAAATGTACGAGAAAATGTAGGTCAAGACTTCAAACAGCCTAAAACAGCCCTAAACAAACGAATAAAGAAGGACTGATTTCAGATTTTAAGATAAGACGCTTAGCCATCTTGATGTTATTTGTCGCAAGAATCACTAAAAAAAATTTGAGTTATTCAACTAGAAAAAGACCGGATTAAAACTGTTTTTGTGTCAGTCCAATGTCTTCACAAATGAGCAATGGTGAGAGGAAAAGTCATTCAGGCTTTCAGTAATGGCACCAACATTCATACTCTGGCTTCCAGCTTCAAAGTCCATTCAAGAACCATCAAGAGAACTGAATAAGTTTTAAAAAAAGGGAGCAGTAGGGAGGAAAACTGGATCAGCAGGTCACAACAGGAAGAAGAATAATCATTTCAGCTTAGACCTAAAGAGATCAATTAGAAAAGATCCAACACAATCCATAAGACTTTTGGCACGTGAGAGAGAAAATTCACCTATGACAGTCCAAAGAGCAATGAAAAAAGACTTGAAAATGAAATCGTACGTGAATCATGCGAAGCAACTTGTTACTCCAGGACAGAAAGTTAGAAGATTAGAGAGGACGAAGGTCATCTTAAATAAGTTGGTAATTAATCCTAGAATAATATATATATATATATATATATAACTTGATTTAAATTCTTCATGAGCTTCCGATCCTTAACTATGATAATGATGAACATGTTATTTTCGTTTATGATCGATTTAATCACGATTCCTTTGTTGAGCTTGGAGAGTAATTATACATTCTTATTGTTCAAAGTAGAGTCCAATATAGTTATAAAAACCTCGGAGCATTCCAGTAAGATATCTTTAATCATTTCTAAGATACAACAGTTCAAAGCTTAACCTAACAATTGGACAATTTTGCTGTTACACCAGTTATCTATCTATCTATCTATCTATCTATCTATCTATCTATATATATATATATATATATATATATATATATATATATATAATTAAAATATTTGACTTACAGTTTGTTTTCTTAATAATCGACCGTTTTGATTTATTTTCTTTCTTAGCTTTAAGCAGTAACCGTTTTAATATTCGGTTTCCCACGGCAGACATTTGTGAACCGAAGCTAATTTTTGTGTCAATCTTAAAATCTTTTTGTATGTGAATATATGAAATTGAAGCTTGTTTACTGAAATGTAAAACTCATGTGCATCGATAAAAAAAAATATCAACAGTGATCAACCACTGTCGAAAATCCGATGTCACGTATTTCAAATTACTCTGAAAATAATTCCCTTGAACACTTGTAAGTCCATCAATAAGTTCGTAGCTTAATAATAATAATAATATTAATAAAAAGGTATTTATTTTACATAACAAACATATCTCCTTCCGTATTACTGTAAAACTTCGCTTCTCTTCTGGTCATATAGATTGAACATTATACAATGAATAGTTCAGCTCAAGCTACGGATTTATTGATGCAACAGAAAATGAATTTATGATAATGTTACGATCGTTTTTGTACGTGTTCATTTTACCCCATTTCAAGTTCATGTTGTCAGTTGGTGTTTACTCGTAAGTACGTGGCTCCTAATTAAATAAAAAAAAAGAGAAAATGCTCGCATTTACGATAACTTTGTCATAGATATTCGGAGTGTCGGGAAATTGTTATATACCGTACCTATGAACACTAATGGGTATGTCCTAATCATCATAATAACGTTGGACACTATTGTAAGGGGGGGGGGTAATATGGTGTCTAAGTCGTCCACCACTAGCAGTGGTTTACCTTCTTTATGCCGCTGGCGAGTATTATATTTTGTTGATGCTATAAAAATTACCATTTCATTTCGTGTTGGTTATTCCTCATTCAGAAATCCTTTCTAAGTTACAACAGATAGATAGATAGATAGTGTTATATACCGTACCTATGAACACTAATGGATATGTACCAATCATCATCATAACGTTGGACACTATTGTAAGTGGGGGGAGGATATGCTGTCTAAGTAGTCCACCACTAGCAGTGGTTTACGTACTTCACGCCGCTGGCGAGTATTGTATTTTGTTGATGTTATAAAGATTACTATTTCACTTCCAACCTCCGTTTTGGTTATTCCTCATTCAGTAACCCTTTCTAGGTTACAACAGAAATGCTACGGACTCCATCTTTTCGATGTGATATAATCGATGTTACTCAAATAATTCGTTATTACCTGTTTATTAGAGCTTATAAGTTCTAAAACTATGCTAGTAAATAATTTATGATAAAATATTTATATGTATTTTTTATATTATGAGCTCTTTATAATATAAGCTGCAAGTCTCGCACTAACTTAATCTTAATTGTTGATGTACCTGACGTTAATAAAGACCTTGTGCTTTTTGTCTGAATTTTTGAAATGAGGAATTATTATTCTGACGAGTGTCTCGTCATAAGGTTTCTGCTGTAGGTGTCCGTCGTGTAGCTGTTTTACCCACCGACCTCCTATAGATGTCCGTCGTGTAACTATTGTCTGTCCTCCTGTAGGGTTTCCGACATATAATTGTACCCTCCAAATACCTGTAGTTGTCTGTCGTGTAGCTGTTGTACTTCCGCCATCTGTAGGTGTAAAGTTGTGTAGCTGTTTTACCCACCGTCTTGCTATAGACGTCCGTCGTGTAGCTGCTGTATCGGCCGTCCTCTCTCTAGATGTCCATCGTGTAGCTGTCTTTACTTTCCCCCTTAATGTAGATGTGCGTAGTGTAGCCGTTGTATCATCCGTCATCTCTGTAGATGTGCGTCGTGTAGCCGTTGTATCATCCGTCATCTCTGTAGATGTGCGTCGTGTAGCCGTTGTATCATCCGTCATCTCTGTAGATGTGCGTCATGTAACTGTTTTACACCCACCCGTCCTCCTGTAGGTGTGCGTCCTATAGCTGTTTTATCCACCGTCCTCTAGTCGGTGTGCGTCCTATAGCTGTTTTACTCACCGTCCTTATGTCGGTGTGCGTCCTATAGCTGTTTTATCCACCGTCCTCTAGTCGGTGTGCGTCCTATAGCTGTTTTACCCACCGTCCTTATGTCGGTATGCGTCCTATAGCTGTTTTACCCACCTACCTCCTGTAGGTGTGCTTCGTGTAGCTGTTTTACCCTCCGTCCTCCTGTAGGGTGTCCGTCACTGTTGTACCCTCAGCCCTCCCGTAGTTGTCTGTCGTGTAGCTGTTGTACGTCCACCTTCATTTGGGAATCCACATAGTTATACATGGAGGAAAGATGTGATTTATAAACACCGAGTGTAATAGCAAAATTGTCCAAATCGTGCAACAACAAAATTGTCCAATTGTTAGATTAAGCTCTGAACCCTTGTATTTTACAAATGATAAAAATAACTTATTGAAATTCTCCGAGTGTTTTATAACACTATTAGCCTCTACTTTAAGCAATAAGAATGGATATTTAATCTCCGAGCTTAACAGAAGTATCGTGATGAAATCGAACATAAGCGAAAATGACATGTTCATCATTAATTAATCATAACTAAGAATCGTAAGCTCATGAAGGATTGAAATAAAGTTCAAATATATATTATTCGAGGATCATTTTCCAAGTTATTCACGATGATCTTCGTCCTCTCTAACCTTCTAACTTTCTGACCTGGAGGAACAAGTTGCCTCACATGTTTAACGTACAATTTCAGTTTCAAGTCTTTTTTCACTGCTCTTTGGACTGTCATAGATGAAGCTCCTCTCTCACGTGCCAAACGTCTTATGGATTGAGTTGGATCTTTTTCTAATTAATCTTTTTCGCTCTAGATTGTAATGATGATCCCTCTTACTGTTGTGACCACATTATTCTGTTTTCCTCTCTACTGTTCCGTCTTTTTTAAACTTATTCACCGTTCTCTTGTTAGTTCTTGTTTGGACTTTGAAGATACTAAGTTACTTTTCAGTCACCCCGTATATTAAAACCCAGTTTCCACGGTCCCCGACGCAGGCGTCAGAGCATTTCCACTAACTTTACCCCGTGAGTATAATGAAAAGTTACTCCCTGGAAAATCGGATCTCCAATAACCAAGCATAAGTAAAAATAGGTTTCAGCCCAACGCACGTCTCACAGGTTAAACGCGAAGACACCAACTTTCACTTGGATCAGCCTGACCAAGACGGAAGGACAGTTGTTGCTCAGTTAGTTTGTCGTCAGGTCAATTTGTTGATGGGATAATTACTCTCCTGCATCTGCTGTTTACGCTTGTTGGTTTGAACAATGTTTTTGGGATCAACATGGCTACTATCTGCAAGATCACTATTTTAGAAAGATGAAAAAAATAGTTTAGACTAAAAATGGACCATTACTGCCATATCTGGGCTGAAGCTGTCCAATTCTCACTTTCCGGCCTCGAGTTCAAAAGCCTTTACACGACCTTGTCGGGGATTAATTATTTTCCAAGCTAAAATCCACAGATGAAACGTTGCTAGCCTCTTGCTACTCTATTGTTATTTTCATGGTAAATGTTCAGATGAGCTACGTTCCTTAGTACCGTTCAGATCTTGACACCATGCCACGTACACGGGATCAACTCATCTTCATTGCCCTCGTATTCTATTGATAAGCAGAAAGTTCTACTCAAACAGCTACTTCTCAAGAATTGTTACTTTGTAGAAGTGATTTCCGAGAGAATGCTTCCCTGATCACTACAATCTTTATCTCTTCAAGTAATATATAAATTGCCGCCATTTTATATTTTTAATTTCGTGCATGCGCGTTGTTTTTTTTATTTTGTCAACTGCACAGTATAGTAGGGTCAGTTGGGCACCGTCTCTGAGAAAAAACAGCCTCATGACGCAGTTCACTCCGCCATAAATTTGGAAACGGCATGCTGCACTTCTTGGCATTCACGCCGGAATCTCTACATACGAACATTTTAGATTTTTATGAGTGTCAGTCTGAGGAGAGTCCAAATAATTCGAGAGAGTCTAATGGTGATTACGAAGGTGTTTGGAGTGATCACTAGTGATGGCGACGTTATGCTTCCATTCATCTTTCAACAGGGGCTTAGATTCAACACAGAGGCCTACATCAAGTGCATTGAGAAGGTAGTACTACCCTGAGTCAAGAGGGTGCTGCTGGTTGACCCTATGTTTGACAACACGACTTTGCACCATGCAACACAGACAGAAGAACACAGTTAGAGATATCAGACAATTTCTATAACCCAGACTGCAACCACCATTGATTATTATTTGCGGGACGCAGTTGAGTGAAAGACCAACAAAACTCCTTGTAACACCGAAGTTGAATTGAAGGCAAGGATTATGGTAATATTCACTTACTGAAACAAGTAGACTTCCAGAAGAGTTGCAGGAGATTACGAAGTCTTCTAGAGGCCGTGGTTGAAGCCAATGGCGATGTTATTGAATAAATTTAATCTTCAGTTTTTAAAGATATTTTTGTGTAATTTTCGTAAATATATCTGTTAAAATGAGTTGTCAGTGTTATTTTAATTTTACGTAATTTAGATGACAATTTATCCATCGTACCTTTCTCTTTTTAAGCCTTAACAATGTAATTCACTAAACGTCTACCTTGAGTGGCTCTTGCTCCTTGCATTGATTGAATAGTTAAAGTAACTTATTTATATACAAAAATAAACAGAAAGCATGTACATTTACGATAGATTGTAGGTGTAAAAATTGTATAAGAAAGCGAGACGTTATCGAACAAAGAGTTTAAGAAGGTTTCAACAACAGCAAGAAGTCTCTTGTCAGGAATTTATTCAGAGTGAGGAAACTATACAAGAGAGATTTTTAAAAAATATATAAAGAAGTGTATTAAAAATGTAATAGAAAAATGGATGTGCGCGTGGCCTAGCGGTCATTTGGTCGGAAACTGGGATCGGAGAGACGAGGTCAAATTCTTGCTGTTGAGGTTCACCTTCGCACCCTTTGGAAAAGATATCAGTCCATCTCGTCTCCCCCAGCTGTGGATTATACAGCAGAGTAGATTTGATTCTCTAGCCTTGAGTGGTAACCAATCTAAGAAAAGAAAAACGCTAAATTCCAAATCTTTTCTTAATGAATTCTTGGCAATTCATAGATTATAAAAAAAAAGACATCTTCAGAAAGCCAAGATCGTCTACGCCCATAGTGGAAAAAAAATTAGAAAAATATGATTCAGAACAATTTCTTTTAGAAACCATTTTAAAACTCGTAAACTTTAATATTTCGATCACTAATGTAACACATTTTAGTTTTTGTAATTGTGAATGTTTCTTAGGAAGGCACGGTGGAGTAATGGATAACAGCTCGGATTGAGGAATCGGAGAGCAGAGTTCGAATTCTAGTCGAATCCATTACATTCACTTACATGCTAATACTCTTATGGGTAAATAGTACAACAGACTTGGTTCTTTAACCTTTGATGGCAACTGGTCTACCGCAGAAAGAAATGGTAACCTACTACGGGAAAAAATCTGCCTCGTATCGAAAGATACATGATCGCCTAAGCGTGTATCACGCATGGCACATAACTGATTGACTGTTTCTTAAAGTTGAATGAAATTTCGAAAATCGTCCTTTTTTTTAAAACTTCACTTATTAAGGTGACAAATTCTCTCATGGATAAATTGACCAACGAAAATAATAATTTTAAATTAAGTTAAGGAAAAGAATGTCTCAGATAATTGAGGGCAATATCCAGAGATTCAAAATAATCTTGTCTGAAATTCGAAAAAAAAATTTAAGCGTTAATTTTCTTGGAAGAAAAATGACGAAACATCATGGATGTTATGTTTGAGTTGTAAAACACTTGTTTGTGGTCATCTCCGGTAATAGCATGTATTAGTTTATCAACAAACATTGTATCCCGAACGTTGCATGGTAAATTAATGCGAACAAACTGTTTTTTATATTTTCATCTTTTCTCATTCATACACGCTCACGGTTAAATCACGCTGAAAACACTTGTCGTTTGTGACGTGTGCCTACAAAAACATTGCCTTCATGTCAGAAAACTCTTTCTTTCTAGTACACGCTTTCTTTCCATCACACCTTTTCCTTCTCATAGCATCAGTAGAAAAAGATAACTTGTAACTGCCACAATCAGCAGCAGCTGGAGCAAACTGATTGACCCCCGACACGAACATTCGAAAATTTTGAGTAGCACCGATTGGACGACCGATTTGGCCAATCAAAAATCGGAATAATGGCGGCAAAGGAGAACGATCACAAGAGAAAACTTAAAAATAGTTGCAGAGATGGATTGAATCCGTGTAGACGTCATCATGATCTATACGAGAACATATCTAGCAGAACGAGAAGTCGGAAATATAGCACAAGGCTCGCTCATAAAATGTATTAATATGAGTTACCAAACAGATTATATGCATTCCGGCCATAACAAAATGCCGAAGTATAGCAAGATCGGAGCAAACATATATCCTCTGCCCATGACAACTGAAAAAGTTATCTCTTCTGCCGACAAAATTTAATGCTACTCCCGAGATGACAGATCTGGGAAAATCTTCCATGCAAAAGAATGTGTTTTAATGGAATTTCACACACTCCCTATCGCCAATGTGGAGTGACTATATCAGTAGATATATATATATAGTAAGCACAGGATCTACCTGTCGAATTTGCTTCAGGAATGACTAGCCTGCTAACCGATTCCCTGTCTTTCAGTAGTATATTCTCTTTTACAATAAACCTCTTTCTTTTATCTACACCTGTGTTACTGTTCCTTTCAGTCGAGTACCACCTTTTTCTGTAACCTTCTTTAAGAATACAACAAAATGACAGATGAATTCCTGGAAGGAATGGGAGCTCTCAAACTAAGAACAAAAGAGAGAGAAAGAAAATATAGTTCTGAAAGAACTAGAAAAAAGAAAAAAAAAGAACGTTCATAACTTTGACTATATTGAGTT